TGGCCGACGGGCCCCCCGGCGACCCCCTCCATGGCGGGGCGACACCTGGCGAGCTGAGGCGACTGGAGAGCGCGGGAGTTCCGCCGGCTCCCGTCACGGCCAGCGCGCAGGCGCGGGAGGCACGCAGGGGCCGCTGGGAAATGTGGTTCACCTAGGCAAGGTGCCGCTCAGGTGCGAGGGGCGGGGCCTGCGGGCCACGCCTTAAAGGAACTTGGGCCGCGGTTCCCTTTGACAGATTTGAGGCTCTTCACTGCCTTGCAGAATTGACTAAGTCACCACTGTTTCTGGCAACGATATTATTTTTGCAACAATTTGCACCCAGACAGCTAAGCTAGATTATTGGTAATCTAGATGACATGGCACTGCGAATGTTTCATCCTTAGTACCCATGTGTTTCTTCTGTGAAAATCTACATTCAGAAGTATTAAGTTCTTATTTTGAAACATGTTGAGTTTACTTCTTTTGAAGAATTATGCACTGTATTGTTACAGCCTGAAACTCCTACTCGAAGACCATCTGTGGTACTCCATCACATAAGGAAAACTTAATTATATTTATAGCAACACAGATTTATTGAGAATCTTCCGTTGGTAGAAACTGAGATCTGCCAACATCTCACCTCACTCCATCCTCCAACTTTATTTTTTATTGATCTATTTTAGGTTTTTTGAGACAAGGTTTCACTGTAGTTCAGGATGGCCTTGAACTCTTGGCCATCCTCCTGCTTCAGCCTCCTGCGTGCTGGGATTCCAGCCATTCATCACCACACCCAGCTGCCCAGACTTAATTGGAGGTTTGGAGTTGGTTTACAATATTCCTGCTGTCTAAAATAATGTCTAAGGGGCTGGGGAGACGGCTCAGTAGAATAAGGGCCTGAGTTCAATCCACCAAAAAAATAAATAAAAGAAAACAAGGTCTAATACAATCAAAGTATTAGATTTCTATATTAGATATGATTTCTTAGAATACTATAGTCATTAAAAATGATATGTGGGGCCGGGGAGATGGCTCAGTAGAATAAGCGCTTCCCTGGCAAGCACAAGGACCTGAGTACAATCCCCGGTTCCATAAAAAAAAAAAAAAAAAAAAAAAAAAAAGATGATAGTTCTAATGAATGTAATAGAAATAAACATACATACAGATTGTATTATTCCAACTGTATGAAAAGAAAATATAAGGAAATCATGGCAGGCAGGCATGGTGGCACATGCTTGTAATTCTAGCACTTGGGAGGTTCAGGCAGGAGAATCACTGCGAAGTTCAAGGCCAGCCTGGGTTACAAAGTGAGCTCAAGGACAGCCTCAACTGCATAGCAAGACACTGTCTCTAAATGAATAAATAAATTCTGGACTGGGGGTACAGCTCAGTGTCAAGTGCACATGGCTCTAAGTACAGTGCCTAGTACTAAAGATGTACACATTCATTCACTTGTATCCACTAGTGTTTATTTTATATGTACTATACTTACTATATTAAATTTGCAATTTACCATTGTATAGCACTGCCCCTTTTGTGGTACCAGGGATTGAACTCGGGATAGGATTCAGTCTCAAAATAAAAAGCAGGGGGCCGAGGAGATGGCTCAGTGGAATAAGCATTTCCCTGGCAAGCGCAACGCTCTGAGTTCAATACCCGGTTCTGCCAAAAAAATAAATAAATAAAAATAAAAAGCAAAAAGGTATGGCGGATGTAGCTCAGCGTAAAGGGCCTGAGTTCAATCCCTGGTACCACAAAAGGGGCAGTGCTATACATTGGTAAATTGCAAATTTAATATAGTTGCCAAGTTGCCCCCAAGGTGGTCTTGAAATTTCCATCCTCCTCCGCTGTAAAGGTCTCTTTAAAACTGAGAGGTGAAGATACAAACACTTAAAAAAAGCAAAGATGCTTTCAAACTAATGATTAGAGAAATGCAAAGTAAAATGACACTTGAGATTACCGGATTCTGGTCAACACAGACACCACAAGACAGATCTACAACACTACTGCAAAATCCTTGAAAGCTTATAGGAACAGAGGAAGAAAGGGGGTAGAACATGTGTCTTGTATTTAACGATCAATTTTATGATAAAATTTCAAAACTCACCAATCTCCACAAAACTTAAGCTAGACCAAGAGACAAATGATGTAATGTTTAATATTTAGATCTTTGATCCATTTTATATTTCGTTTAGTGCATGGTGAAAGATATGGGCCCAACCTTAATCTTCAGCATGTGGAGAGCCAGTTTTTCCAGCACCAGTTAGTAAAAGGGCTATCTTTCTTCCAGTGAATGGGTCTGGCACCTTTGTCAGATAAGGTTGTTGGGCATGTCTGGAATTACTTCTGCATCTTCTGATCTGTTCCACTGACCTTTGAGTCTGTTTTGTCGCCAGTACCATGCTGTTTTTATCACAGTACCTTTATGTTGGCAGTTGTGATGCTCCCTGCCCTGCCTTTGTTGCCCAGAACTGCCCTTGTTATTTTAGGTCTCTTCTGGTTCCAAATGAATTTTAGGAATTTTTTTTCTAATTCTGTTGGAGATATGCTGTTGGAATTTTGATCAAAATTGCATTAAATCTGTATAACAGCTTTGGAAGCATGGCTATATTCACTGTATTGGTTCTTTCTCCCCAAGAGCAAGGAATAGCTTTTTGTTTTATTATGTTTTAATGTATTTGGTACAGGGTCTTACTATGCAGCTTGCACTCGTAGTGATCCTCCTGTTTTCAGCCTCCCCCGTGCTGGGATTACAGGTTTGTTCCACCATGCCTGTTCTCAGTAGCCGGGTCAGTGGGCCCCGGGGTGGGGCTAATGTGGAATGTGGTGCCAAGGATCAAATCCCAGTCCCTGCACTTGCCTAAGCAGGCGCTTAGTCTGCTGAGCTACCTCTTGCTGGCCCATCCTTTCATTTTCTGATACCCTCTTCAATCTTTTTTTAGAGTACTGTAGTTTGCAATGCAGAGTTCTTTTACATCCTTTGTTAGATTCCTAGGATTTCATGTTTTTGGATGCTACTGTGAAAGGTGTTTTCCTAATTTCTCTCTCAATAAGTTTATTCCTCTACAAGAGTGCAATTGATTTTTGAGTTTTGACTTTGTATCCAGCAATGCTACTGAATTTATTAAATGTAGCAGTTCTTTAGTGGAGTAATGTCTAGGATAGAGACTGAACACAAGACATTTTCCTGAAGGGTACAGGAACACGTATACATTCATTCATGCACATGCGTGCCCACACGTGTGGGAATGTGTGCTGGCAAACGCAGTAATGGAACCCAGATGACAAGAGCAGAGGGCTGGTCAGGGAGCTGATTTCTCTTGGGAAATACAAATTCATGGAGGAGGAGCCAGGCATGGTGGCATATGCCTGTAATCGCGGCACTTGGGAGGCAGAGACAGAAAGATTATTCTGAGTTCAAGACCAGCCTTGGCTACCAAGTGAGCTCAAGGCCAGCCTGAACTACATAACAAGACCTTGTCTCAAAAAGACAAAAAAGAGGGCAGGCCACATAGCTCAGCAGAGCACCTGCAAGCAGGTGCAGGGGCCGGGGGTTAAATCCCCGGGCCTGCCATGCCGGGCCCACCCCTGGGGAGTGCTGAGATGGCAATTGAGACGGGGCGTGGTGGTGCGTGCCTGTAATCCTAGCTCTTGGGAGGCTGTAAACAGGAGGATCACTACCAGTCTGATCTAGTAGTGAGACCCTGAACACCCTGTAGACCCCTCCCTAAAATACAAAAACAAACAAACAAAAAACAGAACATTTTGGGGCCAGAGAGATAGCTCAATAGAATAAGCGCTTGCCTGGCAAGCACAGAGTCTTGAGCTCAATCCCTGGTTCCGCCAAAAAAAAAAAAGACAAAAGAAATAAATTCATGGAGGAAAATAATGAGATAGAGAAATAAGTGCAACTCCCAATAAAACAAGAAACTGAACTAGATGAAACAGAATAACAGTAATACTAGAAATAAAAGTAATATATCCTCAAAGAGGACTACAGTGGGGTCTTGCCATCTTGGCAATATGGACATTTGGGCTGGGTAATTCTAGCAGTGGCAGGGGGTTCTTATACTTGAGAGTTAAGTCCCCCACCTCACATGCTCATAGGTGGGGCCTGGTTCCAATGGGGGGCTTACAAGGGCATGACCTGCGGGTAGATTCTTACTCCAGGGTCCTCCCTGCTTGCTCTGCTTCCTGCCCTTGGCGACATAAGCCGCATTCCTCCAAAAGGCCCTTCCATCACACTGCTTCTATCTTGTGGC